TCTGGAGTCGATGGGCAGATACCACTTTAGAAGTCAGCCATACATAGACAATAGTGGTTACAAGGAATGTAAGAAGAGTTTTATAAATCCAGATTATACCTTGTACAGGTTGTTCAGAACTGCTTTATTCATTAATTGCCAAAGACTGGAAACAGCTCAGGTGTCTAGCAATAGGAGAATGGACAAATCAGCTGTGGTATATACAATGGGACATCACTCAGTAATGAAAAGGAACACACAGTCATGTTCTTAAAGACAGGATATGCATTGTTGGGCAATTTCGTCCTTGTGTGAACATCACAGAATACTTACCCAAACCTAGATGGTATAGCCTACTACACACCTAAGCTATATGGCACTAATCTTATGGGACCACTGTCATGTATGCGATCCATCGTTGACCAAAACATCGTTATGCGGTGCATGACTGTGCTTCTGAAAACAGCAACTACTGGAATGAAGCTCACAGAAATAGTGTGTGAAAGAAGTTAAATGCAAAAGAATACTCATTATATGATCCCATTTATGTGAAGTACAAGAACAGGCAAAGCTAATGTGTGTGGAGAAAGAATCAGAACAGTGGTTGTCTCTGAAGGAGTAGACTGGAAAGGGATACGAGAGAATTTCCTGGTGTGTGCGTAACTTCTGCTTCTTGATAAAGGGCTGGGTTGCACTGGTGTATGAATCTGTCAAAACTCATCCAACGGAAAACTTAAGATTTGTGCATTTCACTGTATGTAAGCTATACCTTAAAAAGAAAAAGACCCAATATTTGTTTCATTCACAAATGGCTTTCATTCACAAATTTGTTTCACTCACAAATTTGTTCATACACAAATATTGAATTCTAGTTAATAACATTAATGATATGCATGCAAAAGTGTTTAGGGATGAAACAAACTGATTTCTATAATTTACTTTGAAATGGATCAAAAAGTAAGATGATGAATGGATAGATAGAAGGATGGCTATATAGACATGTAATTTAAAAAACAAGTATAACAAAGTGTTAATTGCACAATCCATGCAGTTAGTGGATGGGTGTTCACTATAAAAGTCTTTCTACTTTTCTATATACTTGAAAATTTTTATAACAAATTGTTGAAAAAAAATCAGCCCACTACACATGCAGGGGGCTGGCTCTTTTATACCCTAAAACTTCCGACTAAACTTCTTAGAATAAAGACCCTTGGCAGCCAGGATTCTATTTTCTTGCAGACTACTCTGTTGCTGACACTGGTAGCACAGCACATTGCAACACACAAGATATATATACTTGATGGCAACTGACTCAGCAGCTCAGTCAGCATTTAGTCCCAATTTATCTACTGAATTGCTAGACGAACCACAGAATTAACTTGAATGAGGGATTTATACTCGAGAAGAGTCTGTCAATAAGCTTGAGGAATCAGAGGAAGGAGGAAGGGACTTCATTCCTCTCAATATTCTAAATACTTCATTCTCTTCTTATTTGGTTGGTTACTGAGGAGAAGTTGGATGTAATACTTATTACATTCTCCTCTATAGGTAAGATGTTTTTTCCTCTGGCTTCGTTTAATATTTATTCTCTATCTTTGATTTTCTATAGTTTAAATATGATATGCCTAGGTGTTGGGCTTTTTGGTATTTATCCTGCTCAGTGTTCTCTGAGCTTCCTGGCTCTGTGGTTTGGTGTTTGACAGTAATTTAGGGAAATTTTCAGTCATTATTACTTCAAATATTTCTTCTTTCCTTTCTCTCTTCCTTCTCCTTCTGGTATTCCCATTACATGTACTTGTCCCACAATTCATGGATATTATACTCTGACTTTCACAGTCTTTTTTTCCTCTTTGCTTTTCAGTTTTGAAAGTTTCTATTAATGTATCCTTAAGCTTGGAGATTCTTTCCTCAGCCATATCCAATTTACCTGTGAGCCCATCAAAGTCACTCTTCATTTCTTTTATTGTGTTTCTGATCTCCAGCATTTCTTTTTTATTCTTCCTTAGAATTTCCATCTCTCTGCTTATATTGCCCATCTGTTCTTGCATGTTGTCTACTCTTTCCATCAAAGCCTTTAGAATATTAGTCATAGTTTTAAAATTTCTGGTCTGATAATTCCAACATTCCTGCCACATCTGACTCTGGTTCTGATGCAACCTCTTCGAGCAACTTTTTGCCTTTTAGTATGCCTTGTAGTTTTTCTTGATAACTTGATGTGATGAACTGGCTGAAAGGAACTGAAGTAAACTGGCCTTTAGTAATGTGGTGATGAGATATGGGGGAGGGGCAGTGTTCTGTGGCCTATGATTAGGTCTCAGTCTCTCAGTGAGCCTACGCCTCTGAACTGAACTTCACACAAGCTTCTTGGTTTTCCCTCCTCCTCAGGTGGGACAGGATGGCTAGAAGGGGCTGGAGTTGAGTATTTTCCTCCCACTGCCAGGCAGGTTAGGCTCTGGTGTACTAGTTTCCCCTGAGGGCAGGCCTTGTTGAGAAGGGCAGAGTGTTCTGGTATATTTCAAGATGGCTCCTTGTCCCCTCCCCCTGCCAGGAGCATGAAGGGATTGTTTCCTGACATTTACTGCCAGGACCTGGTAGAGCTCCTGGACGTAAAACTCCAAAAGCACAGGGACCCCCGATAACTAGGTGCCCTTGTAGTTTTTAACTCTCAGACTTGTCCACATTGAGCCTGCCGCAGTTGTCCATCTCAGTTCAGGTTTTCCTACCTCAGCACTGGTTCCCATGGGGGTTTTTGCTGGTGGGTTTCTGTTCTGGTAAATTGTGATTCTCCATATTGCGGTCTCTGCAATTTGGGGGGAGCCATTTGCCCTGTGATCTCACTTCTTTTACAGATCTAGGAGCGACTGTTGAATTTTTAGTCTGTTCAGCTTTTTACCTGTTGTTAGGGCAGAGCGGTGACTGCCAAGTTCCTTACATGCCAGACCAGAAACCAGAAGTCTCCGCTTTACTCCTTAGATTTGTGACTGAGGCCAGTGAAGAAAAGGACTGTTGGTGGCAGCTGAAGGGCCTGCCTTCTCAGGAAGGACTCTCTGAGGCCTTGGACATGAACAGTACAAGTTGGACCTGGTGGCAGTGTGACTGAGAGCAGGGACCCTCTCCTCACTGATGTGTGCGCCACTACAGCCCCTCTGGGGAGGATGGTTTTGAAAGCCTCAGGATAAAACACCTGTTTGGACATCAGCCTCTCTACAAAGAAACCCAGCAGCAGTGGAAGTGGTGTGGTCTCAAAGTGGAAGTGGTTGCGGATGGGGTCAGGGAGAAGAATATGGGAGGACTGGGTTGAAATCCCTAGGGAACTCTAGAAGACCTTAGAAGGGATTTTGCTGGGCTGAGTTCTGGCGCTGCATAGTTAAAGAATAAATGCCAGCAAAATATGGCCGTTACCATTTACCCCATGCTGAGCCATATTTTACCCCCATGAGAGTGTCCACATCCCCTCTTATAGCAGTTTCTGGGTTAAGACAAATGATCAGAGCAAAGAAAGTTAGGAACATGGCAACTCTCAGTGGCAGCAGAGAAAACGTGAAGTTTGCAATATAACGAGCCATAAATAGGTCAAGTAGTAACACGTATAGACAAGAGAAACTGGTGATGTGTGTTCCAGAACTGCAGCTTCAGCATCACTGAGCATGGCTTCCTGCAGCCTGAAGTTCCCCAACTTTATAAAATAACGGCAAAGAAACCAGACTCAGAGTGAGAGATCGACAGGAACAAGGGAACCCGCTGGCTACAAAATTGCAATGAAAATGTGAGCTTCTAAGGTTCAAATCCCAGAGACCTGTACCAATAGGAGCCTGAAGTTAAAAAAGCCAGCCCACTGCTTCGGATGACACCTGATGTGGAGTTTGGAGAGGAGGTGCTGTGGTGTTAGCTAATCCCCTCATGTGCACTCAAAGGCTGGAAACACATCTTGAGTTCCGGCCTAGAAGAGCTCAGCCTTCTGCAAGCACAGGTGGTTACAGGACCTTGGTCTGGATGCAGGAAGCTAGACTGCCTGCAAAATGATGCAAGGGTTTCTCAACTCCCATCTCTACCCTCTGTCTCTTTACCTTTTCCCCAGGCCCTAATTTTGCTGAGGTGGGTGCCAGTGGATGGGGCAGCCAGTAAGATTGATGTGGGTTGATGTTCACACATGAAATTAGGAAGAGGAAGAAGAGGCACCCCGAAAACAATCCTCTCCCACTGCTTTCTACCTCATGCATTGACTATAAGGAAGCAAAACTAGTCCCTAGAAGGATGCTCTAGAAATTAAACATTTTTCCTTTTGTCTGTGGCCCTTAATAGCTACAGTATTTGAAAATTCATTAAATTCAAAGCCTTTTAATTGTATACAAAACCCAAGAAGATTATATCCATCTGTTTTTTTTGGCGAGGAAGATTCGCCCTGAGATAACATTGTTGCCAATCCTCCTCTTTTTTTGCTTGAGGAAGATTGTCCCTGAGCTAACATCTGTGCCAGTCTTCCTTTATTTTGTATGTGGGATGCCTCCACAGCATGACTGGTGAGTGGAGTAGGTCCACACCCAGGATCTGAACCTGTGAACCTGGGCCACCAAAGTAGAGCTAGCAGAACTTTAACCACTTGGGCACGGGGCTGGCCCCATCTTGAAATCAAGATCATAAAAGCCTTGTGTGTGTGTGTATGCGTGTGTTTATTTATATTTCTACATGTATATGATGTGCATGTGTATATGTTGGGAGGAGGGAAGAGCAAAACCCGCAGCTGCTTCAGGCATTAAAATAACAGCTAACACTCACACGTGCTGGCTCTGTGCCAGGAGCTGTTCTAAAGGCTCTGCACACTCACTGTGCTTTCTCATTTCATCCTCACAACAACCCTGTGAAGTACATATTATCTCTTCATTAGTATTCCTGTTCCACAGATGGGGAAACTAAGACACAGAGAAGTCAGGAGTGGAGACAGGGTTTGGATCAAGGCTGTTAGTGCTCCAGGGGCTCCCTCTCTGGGGTCCATTTAAAAGGCAGCAGATGGGCAAGACTACCTCATTTGGCAGTTGAATTCCACTGACACTGCCAAAGATCCTTCTATAGTGGCTTCCTCGTTCAGACGTTTGCTTGCAGGAACACGTTGGAAGGTTGGAACCTTTGCCTGAAGGATAGAAAATGACAGATTAGGGGAATGGAATGTCACATTTCAGGACATGTCTGGGGGAAAAGATCCAGAACATCAAGTTTCTTTGACTCCTTCCCTCTTTCCTTTCCATCATGACTTTCTGACCTTCCCTTTCTCACTGACAGGCATCTCCATAGCTCAAGACCAAAAGAAAACCCCTCGCTTTCTCCCCTAACTGCAGGTCTGGCAGGCATCTCAGGCACTGAGGTGCATTTGTCTGCCAGTGGTCAGTCATAAAGAGCCAGCCCAACTAAGACAGTAGAGAAGGTTGATCTGACATTGTGTAATTCAAGAAATGTCTTCACGACTGCGACAACCATCTGATGATAATGTAGCCACCATTTAATGAGTAGCCACTATTGGTTGGGCAGTATCATATGCTCTCACTAATCTATAAAATAAGCCTACGTGGGATCATCCCCATTTTACAGACAAGGAAACTGAGGCTTCTGCATTCTCCTCTTGCTGTTTTTATTTCAGCTACATCAGCTTTTTCTCAGTTTCTTTAATTTTACCTGCTCCCTCCTGCCACAGATCCTTTGCACATGCTGTTCCTTCTGACTAAAATGCTCTTTCCCTCATCCCCTTTAAATTATAATGGAGTTCAGAACTTATCTAAGTGTGTAACTACACATTTGTTAGTGTCGTTTTTAAATAACGTCTGTCTCTCACTTGGTACTCTGAGGCCCACAAGAGCAGGGATTATAAGTGTCTTTGCTCATTATCATCATCAGAAGTTAGTACAATATCAGGGACATGGTAGGAACTCAATAACGTAGGTTGCCTTAATTAGTTTTCCCCAATTGGAAGAGCTAAGAGTCAAATCAAGTTCTGCCTCGCTCCAAAGCCTTAACTCTCTATGGTGCCGCACTGCCTCCAATGTATTCAAGGCACTGTAGGAAAAGAAATCAACCTTAAATTCATAACCTATAAAGAGACGCTAAGGAAAGGGAACCACCTGGCACACAACAGCACAACCACAATTGCAGAACATAGGCCTTGGAGATCGCAGCCTTTGAACTTGTGAATTCGTGGAGATGCCCTGTCCAGCCTGCTTGCCTTTTCTCGTAGTTCTCTCTCCATCTGTCACCTAGAAATCCGTGGCTTTGCTTTGTGCCACTTGTCCTACTCTTTCCCCATCCCACACTTAATTTCAGTTGCCCTCAGTTCATGGTTGTCACTTAGATAGATATATAGATATAGATATAGATATAGATATTGATATATAGATATAGACATTAGACATAGATATGTATATCTATGCTTTTTGAAAGGATTAAAATGGATACTTGTCATCACGGAAATACAAAAACTTCAGGCTCTGAATTTTTTTCTAAAATAGTTGTTTTTCATTGTTCACTGTCTACTTTCATTTTCCCTTAGCGCCCACACTCAGTTATAACTCACAACATCAGTCTTGGAAGCATCAGTTTCTTGTTTTTGAGATCTTTGCCCTCTCCTCCTCACTCTTCAGTAAATAGCAATAACAGCTGCCATTTATTGAGCAACTACTATATGCAGGGCACAGAGTGCTTCACTTGCATCTCTTTGTATCAAATGACTCCCATCTGAGGTCTCTATCCAGGTCCTCCCTTTACAGATGAGGAAACTAGGGCTCCAAGAGGTTAAGTGCCCAAGGTCACACATTTGGTATGGAGCAAGACCAGAGTTCAATCACATCTGATGCCAGTGTCTCTGTGTTCTTTCTGCCACACTGACAAATGGCTAGAATACTTACACTCAATTTAAAAGAAGTAATGAAACAGTCACCTTGGACGGCAGGGGCGGCTGGACCTATGAGGACAGGAAGGGTAGATGCCATGCTACACTCACCCTTGACTGCATTGTCTAATCGGACATTCTCCTGGCTCTCATCCCCCTCTCCATTTGCTCCAGCAAAAGGAAAACTGAGAGAGCGGGACTAAGTCATCACTTGGGAAATGTCTAAGGAACTAACCGTATATTATCTCTCAGAAGAGGGATAAAAAGGAAATACTGTTTATCGAGTGCCCCCTCTGCGCCAAGAGCTTTACAAATGCTAACTCGTTTACAACGATGCACAGAACATTGTCTGCATTTTGTACATGAGGGAGACTGGACAGGTTGAGAAGCTAAATCTCAGGATTTAGTTAGGAGCCTTCTCTTTTCCCTTTATAAAATTTTTCTGGGCAATTTCATCCACATGCATGTTTAAATCACCAACTAAACCCTAATTACTACCAAGTCTAATACTCTAGGTCTCACCCGTCTCTTTGTTTCCAACCACCGATTCTTAACTTTTTTGGTTTCTGAATCCCCTTTACACTCTTCAAAATGACTGAGGACCCCAAAGAACTTTTGCTTATGTGGATTATATTTATCCATGTTTACTATTTTAGAAATTAAAACTGAGAAAACAAATTTAAACTTATCTATTAATTTAGTTTAAAAAAATAAATACATTACATGTTAATCATACAAGGGATTTTATGAAAAATAACTATTTTCCAAAACAAAAAAAACATACTGAAGCGAGTGTGACTGTTTTACAATTTGCACATTTCTTTGATATCTAACTTAATAAAATCATCTGGGTTCTCATATCTGTTTCTGCATTCACTCTGTTATAATATTGACAAAACCTGTCATCATATATATAGATAGACAGATATAGTTAGAAAGAGAAGTATCTCGGTAGCTCCTCCCTTTTCAAATTTTTAGGTAATGCAAATTCATTTATTGAAAATGATTGTCCACTCATTTAAAGAGTACGTTTGTTAAAAAACTGTTTCACCTCCTACCTCTTAAAATTTACCAAAACACCATTATACCCTGTGTTTCTCTCCATTACTGAATTTGGAAGGTATGTGTGCTTTTAAATCTCTTCTGTCCTATGGCAGAGAATACTGAATGGAGTCCATCTTGATGTTGAAGACTGTTACCTCCTTGAGGGCAGAGACTGTCTTATTAGTCTTTGTATGACCATCTCTGCACCTGCCTCGCACACTGCAATTTTTCAATGATAGAATAAGCTGAATTCTTTCCACTGGACATTACACTGTTAGAAAACAGTCTATATTAAAGATAAGAAACTGGCTCTTAAAGGAGAAAAAAATGCACTAGAAATGGAAATCATTTCTTTTACTTCTCAACTGATATAATTACTTTTCATTGTTCAGGTTGTATAAGTAGTTGTGTGGCATTTATCCCCAACATTAGGACAAATCATAGCCTGATTCAAAAGTCACTGTTCAGCCATACAGTGTAATTACAGAATGCACAATGTCAGGGAGGAAGACAAATCCTCTACCCTCTGGGTCCTTCTGGCTGGGCAATGAATTAAATTGACATGAGACAGAATAACAGAAGAAAACCAAACAAGGCCTTATAACATGTATACATGGGAGAACTCAGGAAAACTGATCAACTTGGCCATCTGCTCCAAGCTGCCACCTTAAATATTATCTTCAGCTAAAGACAAAGGAGGACGTGGGGGTAGTGGTTTGGGATTTCAGAGGGGAGGAAAATACATGGAGATGGAAATGCAAATATTTGTTAAACAGGTTTTTCTGGGCAAAAAATGGGCTTGTTGGTGCCTTGCTATCACACCTATTTTACATTATGCTATAGTTGTCTTACGGTATTAGCTCCTTCCTGGAACAGGTCTTCCATGTTCAATTCTTTTAGGCAGTTTGGGGGAGGTCAAGAGTTCTTCCTGAGTCTTCTGAGCCTTCATTGTCTTTAGCTTGAAATAATCCGCATGTCAGAGTGACATATCTTGGGGTGGCCTGCCTTGAACCCCATCAACAATAACCACAGAAGGCTGAGGCTTTTTAAAAATGCATTAACTAAAAGTTATTAATGATCAGCAGCAGCATTGATTAAAGTTTTGGGGGAATTTTCAAAGGGGATTTCTCTTCATTTATCTTATTTTTCTCAGCAAAGAAATTTCTTTAAAAAAATCACAGTTCTAAAGTCTTTGTTTTTAGAGGGAAGCAATTACGTATTTCTAATCTAAACAGGAAATTATGGTTTATTCTTCAAATTCAAGATGAATGTTGAGATTTTTCGTAGAGAATTAATGTTATAATTGCTGTAATTTATTAAGATCTCTATGGCAAAGTTCCCAATTGTAAGCTATATTTGTTTTAAGCTTTTCATACTGGGACAGCAATGTATCACGTTGCCTCATTATGAATGCCTGGCTTCCTCACTGAGGCAATTTTCGGTTAGGTTTTTACTGGAATCCTATCAATGTTTGAAGCTATTCTGCTTCTTTATTTACTTCAGCTAGTGCCAGCCTAGGCCTTAAGTACAGCCTCAGATAGGAAATGAGGTATGAGGCCATGAAACAAATGAATATGAGTGGCCCATGGCAGCTGGGTCACAGTGTTAGAATCAGGCAATTTCTTGCTCTCTGTGTATTTTCTTCACGTTACAATCATCTCTAAAACTCTTTCAGGAGAGATTCAGTGTTCTGTGGAAATGACCCAACCTAATGATAATTCATATCTCTTTTTTTCTCCTTTTCTTTCCATTTATATGGGTCATTGCAGCCCTGCAGCAGAATTGTGTTAGGAACACATGGTGATCCAAGTATTTCCCTTGAATTCTAATTAACAACATATTTGTGTGTATGCATGTTCGTGTGTGTGTGTGTGTGTGCCTGGGCATGCATGAGAATAACACACCAGAATGTTAGTTAGCTTGTGCTCTAAAACATACCATGCCAAAACTTAGAGGCTTAACATGACCACCATTGATGTAGCTCCTACCTCTGTAGGTTGGCAATGCGGGCTGTTCTGGGCTGGACTCATTTATGGGTGTTTAGTTAGCTACAGGTTAGCTTAGTGTCTCTGTCAGCTGGGGTATTGGGGCAAATGGACCAAGGGTCTCTCATCATCCCACAGGCTAGCCCGGACATGTTCATATGGTGGTTCAGGGCTTTAAGAGAAACCAAAGTTAAGCCCAGTGCACAACAAATTTTCAAGGCTCTGCTTATATCACTTGGCACTGACCCCTTGACCAAAGCAAGCCACATGGCCAAGTCCAGAAAACCAGTTAGGAAAATCCTTCCAAAGGATTCAGGGAGACATGAACGAATCAGAGCCACAACTGCAATCAATCCAGCACTCACTTCAGTACCCGAAAAGAAGGCAGTAACCAAGCAAAATGTCTACTTTTAGGAGCTTTTCTTCCTGATCTGTTGCTGATATGGATTAGCCTACTGTCCTAGGAGAAATTGCCAATGACAATGGTTAATGGTGAAATCACTAAATATAAACTAAATCATTTATATTCTATAGTGAGCAGCTATTGATGGCATCACAAGGCCAGAATAATCAAGAAAATTTTAGAAAAAAATGATGATCAGATTACACTGTTAGCTATGAAATAGCACTATAAAGCTATAATCATATAAAACTGATGCCAGTATCGCTAGATAGGTCCATGGAACAGAACATAAATTACAGAACCATGTTCAAAATTATATATGCCCTTAGTACTTTATAAAAGTGTCATTTCAAGCTACAAAAAAAGTATGATCTATATTTATTTACTCAATACATATCTAGTAAGCCATCATTATCTGTTCGTGAATCAAAGTTTCTTAAGCCTCTGACACAGGCCTGGCATTGTTCTAGGCACTGGGGACAGAGCAGTGTATCTAGAAGGCAAGGTTTCTGTTTTCTTAGGGCTTACGTTTTAATGAGAGGACATGTAAAATAAGAAAATCATCTAAAAGAATAAATACACATTTAATAATAAGCAGAACAGTAAAATGCATTCAGACATTGATAATTGCCATTAATGCAATAAAATAGGGGACTGTGATGCAGAAAGACTGTAGGCCTTATTTGAATAGAAGGGCCCTGGAAGGCCTCTCTGAGGAGGTAACATTTGAGGAAAAAAAGAATAATGAGAAGAAACCAGCTTGGGTCAGAGCAGAGCTTTCTTGGTAGAGACAAGACCAAGGGCAAAGGCAGCAAGGCAGGAACCAGCTTGGTCTGTTCCAGGAACAAAAATCAAAGCAGGGCAGCAAGCATAGAGTCAGGACTAGGGGAGCAGAGGACCCATGAGGTCAAAGAGTTGGGGAAGCACTGGTCAAGTGCACCTTGGAAGCCATGGGAAGAAGTTCAGATTTAGATTTTATCCCAGATGCCGGGGGCAACCAGCAGAAATCAGGGGTGGTATTGTGATCTGATTTTTGCTTGTAGAAGATTATGCTGGCGACAGGTGGAGAATAGGCTGCAGTGCGACAAGAATGGAGGCAGAGAGAACAGTTAGGAGCCCATTTGTAGTATCTGAACAAGAAGTGATGCTGGCCTAATCTGGGGGCTGGCGGAGATGCAGAGACTAAGATACAACACCAGGACTTGCCAATTGACTGCTCGTGGAAGGAGGGGAAAAAAGGAATCTGGAGTGACTATTAAACATTTGGCCTGAGCAACCATGAGCCCGCCAGTCAGTGTGCTAAGCTTTGGGGATAAACTAGAAAATAAGACATAGTTCTGGGCGCCAGCCCCGAGGCCAAGTGGTTAAGTTCATGGGCCCCATGTCGGCGGCCTGGGGTTTCCCTGGTTCAAATCCTGGGCGGGACACCGCACCGCTCATCAGGGCAGCGTCCCACATAGCACAACCAGAGGCACTCACAACAAAGATATACAACTATATCTTGGGGGGCTTTGGGGAGAGGAAGAAGGAAAAAAAAGAAGATTGGCAACAGATGTTAGCTCAAGTGCCAATCTTTAAAAAAAAGAAGACATAGTCCTTGCCCTGTGAAGTTCATAATCTATAATTATTTAATAAATGCTACTTGGTTAATAGACTAATAATTTAGAAAAAGTAAGTTAGATTTAAATATCACAGTTTTTAACATCATAAAATCCAGATGGGTTGAAATGTTAAATTTAATATATAAATAATATCTAAATAAATAAGCTAGAAGAAAATATATATGTATATTTGTATAGTTTAAGGATGGGAAAGTTTTTTAACACTGGGGTATAAGCAATAAAGAAAAATATTAATAGATTGACTATTTAAATTTTTTAACTTTTGTATGTCAAAAATCTACCATAAACAAAATTAAAAAGCAATATCTGGGAAATATTGTCACAGCATATATGATGAAGAGTTGATTGCTTAATATATAAAGAGATCTTATAAACCAATACAGAAAAGATGAGCAAAGAGTAAGATAAACAAAAAAGCAAAAATACAGGGTAAGTCTAAAGAAAGAGTTCAATCTTACAGGGGGTTAATAATCTACATATTTAAAATAAGATACGATTTTTTTTCCCTTTCAAATTGGTAAATGTTTAGAAGAATAAAATCAAGAAGTTACCCTAGGAATATAAAATTGACACTTTTTAAAAAAGAAATTCATTAAAAATGCACATTCCTTTTCATCTGGCTACTTCATTTTTTGAAATGTATTTAAAAGGAAAAATGGTGGTTGTGTGCAGTTCTGTATAAGCATTTACTGCAGTGCTGTTCATAGTAGTACAAATTTCTTACATTAGGGAAATGATTAAATGAATAATTCTATATCCATATAGTGTAGTACAGTACAGCTAGTTAAAATCACATTGCAGAAAAAAAGGAAAAAACCTGACTGACATATGGTAAATTGTTCATAATACGTTTTACATGATAAAAGCAGTTATAAAACAATAAGCCAAATGTAACAGCATTTTGGTAAATAACCAAAGAGAAACTATGTTTATAAAGACATTCACCAAATTGTTTATATTAACTATATTTGAGAGTTGGAATTATAGGTGATTTTTTTCTTCTACATGTCTGTGACTTTCAAATTTTCCACATTGCACATGTATCATTATATATTTTTTGTATTACAAAGTAAAAATTGCATATTTACAAAAACAAAACAAAAGAAGTCACTGAGCCTCTAACTAAAGGAAACCAGTTGCAAACTAGAAACTACAGTAAAGGCTTCAAGGGTGCTTGCAAATAAAAAATGCAAAACAAGGTTGCCCTGAAACTGACAATAAACAAACGAGGCCCATAGAGCACAGATAGTGGGGGTGGAGCATGGACTCGACAAAGATGTTCTGGAACCTGGGAGCTGTAGACACGGCAGGTCCTGTTAGTCACCATTCAAAGGTCAGTCCATACCAGCAGGAGATGGTGGGGCCAACATGGCCGTCAAACTAATACCCACAAGTAATACCAAGTCACAGTGTCCTCAGCTTTGACTGTGACCTAGTATGCTCATTTGCCTGATTCTGTTCAGTTTATTAAAATAGCCCCCAAAAATGATAAATCTGATCGGTTCTGGTCTCCACACACCACAAGTTAAATAGATGAACTGATATTTTGAACAGAGAGAATCCTTAAAATGCTACATCTATCAAACAGCTAACCTGCAAATCTAGAGCGATAGCCAGTCTGTGAATCTGACCTTTGAACTCGAAGGACGCCAGGAATCAACTGTGCCTGCTGAACTGATAGGAATTAGACTGAATTCCTTTTGAGGACTCTAAGGTTTACACTTGTAAAATAACCTATTTTTTTTTTAATCAAAAAAAAGTTGCTTTACATAGCAAACAGCTAAAGTACCAATGATAATAAAAAGTGCGTGTGTGTGCGTGTGTAAATAAAAGCACTTGGTATTTCCACATCTTCTGTCAACTGAGGGTCTCTAAGTCTTCGGTGCCCCTTTTGAAACTGGATGAGGAAAGTTACCTAGGGGGTTCTGGTGGCCCTGAGCGGTGAGAACCACTGCTCTGGGTGAAAAGGCGCTGGTAGGGAAAGGAGGTGACAAAAGAACAAGAAAAAGAAATTTAAGAAATTTCCAATTGAAAGAGAAAATTTTTTAAACAAAGACAGGTGAATAATGACATTTGGTCCTAGGTGGTGTCATTTCCTAAGGACTATTTCTCGATCATCTGGCTAGATTACAGAGTAGAGATTAGAACGAGTCCCATTCAGTGGGTAAAGCGTTAACCAGAAGGTCAGTTCGCTTCTCAAGAAGTGTGACTGGGAGCAAAGGAGCGTTCCTATCAGCTGCTCCTAAGAAAAAGTAAACACTCCCAACATGCACTGAGGCACAGGGAGTGGCTCAGGTTTCTAAGACTGCCCTGCAGGGGCGAAAAGGAGTAATAATTAGCAGCTTCTTGGTCTGGCTGAGCGCGCGGAGGGGCACTGCCAGGCGCCAAGCCCAGCCTGCCCGCCCCTCCTCCGGCGCTTGGCTGCAACCTCCGGCACAGGTGAGCCGGCGCTGACTTTCCGACAGTCAGTCTGTGACTAAGCAGGGCAACAAACTGTCTCCGGTGCAAGTTCAGCCCAACAACTAAGGTAAAAAGGATCTTTCTGCTCACATGTGAATAACAGGTGAAAATGAAGGTAGGGAAAAGACCCCCTCTAATCACTCCCTGAGGTCAAGTTGAGGGCGGGTTGTTAGAAAGCAGAGTCCGTAGGCAGACAAGTTGAATGTGTGCGTGCATCCGAGCAGCCTGAAATCCGGACATTACTTTCCTCTCGATTTTTCAGAATGCCTTTCGTGACCCAGGTAAGCATGTGGGAAGGGGGAAAGGAAGGAGGGAGTGGGAGACGGAAGGGCATGGAATTTAGTGTCGCCACTGAACCTTCTTCCCTTTCCTCAACGGAAACAACTCAGTGAGCACTTTACCTGAAACTAACTGTGCTGACCTTCCCAAAGATACTAAACTCCTGCATGACAACCCCCTTTCTCTGAGTGTTCTTCTTCTTCTTCTTCTTTTTTTTTTTTTGGTGAGGAAGATTGGCCCTGAGCTAACATCTGTTGCCAATCATCTTCTTTTTGCTTGAGGAAGATTGTTGCTGAACTAAATCTGTGCCAATCTTCCTCTACTTTGTATGTGGGACACTACCACAGCATGGCTTGATGGGCAGTGAGTAGGTCTATGCCCAGGATCTGAACCCGTGAACCCCCAGCCACCAAAGCAGAGAGTGCAAATTTAACCACTACACCACCAGGCTGGCCCCTCTCTGCGTATTCTTATGGTTATAATAATATTATATTGAATAAGCAGACATGAAAGATCTTTTTACTTGTGGGTTCAGCTAAACTTTTGTTTCCACAAAGCGACAGAGACATCCTCCCCCTCAAAAAACTGAAAAGGATTTCTGCTATAATTTAAGACCATACCTAACAATGAAAGAATAATCATATCTAATTAAAAGGGAGTCCATGAGTTAAGGATACAAATTCTGAAGCAAGAGAGCCGTAGGTTCAAATCCTGGCTTTGCCACTTACCAGTTTGTCCTTTAGCAAATGATTTAACCTATCCACCCTCAGTTTGTCATTTATAAAGGAGGCATCATAACAGGATCAGCCAATAGGGTTCTGATGGGAATTAGACACTTAGCAAGTATTCTATAAATGGTACCTCCAGTTGGCGTTAAGAAATAAACAGCTCTGCCAAAGGGGTAGGATCAGGGAGGCTGAGCTGAGCTGGGGAGACCAGCCAGGGCAGAGGTACTGGGGTTGAACTGGTTTCCGAAGAATAGGTCCAGGGCACGTGAGCAGATAGCAAGTGGACAAAGCATTCTCTCTCTGAGTAGCGATGAAATTATCTGGCTTCTTGCCACTTTTCAAATAGAGTACATGGTGGCGAATTCAGATTTATTTGCTACCCAATCACTTTCATTTTGGAAAAGTCACATTTATATTAATCTGTTGTTTCTAAAAAGAAAATAGACTTTGACAGTAGGAGAGTTACACACAATCCCGTATTGTGGAACCTGACATTCGAGTATATGAGAGATTGTCCGTGAATAACTTTGATAAAATTAGACCATATAGTCCATGTCTTTATATTGTAGCACGTACTGAATTGTTTATATTGAAGTGATATTGACTTCCATTAGTGTTTATGGACCAAAAACGTAAAAGAATGATACTTGTGTTTTGTTTGTCTTTCCCTTTTAAGCTTAAATTATAAGGAAGTGACCTTATTTTATGAAATTTTATTTAAAGGACACTTTTGTTAATGTTGCTGTTGGGTTTATTAATGTTGATAACTTTGAGGAAGGGACAAACTTAGTGTGATTAGCGAAGTACTTCCATTGATGACATTTTTTCTTTTTGTTCTATTAATATAAAACATTTATATGGTCTGTAGTTGATCTTAGCTTAATACCGTTATTGTTTTAATGGGTTCTTTTTTCAAATTGAATTGCAGAGTTGAAATTCTCCCATGTACTTATAATTGGATATTGACTGGAGAATTGTGGATAGAATTCTAAAGCCAAGCAAGCTGACCTTTACTATGTTATTGTCCTCTGGGATCTGATTATGTTTAGTGTAGTTTAGTTAAAAATTTGTAAAAGAATCAAGTCCATTTAGAATAAATTATAGTGCTAGTATTCACTAAACATTTTTCAAACAGGAAAAATGACATCATGCCAAATAGATATTGTTAGAATTTCTTAAATCAAGTTATTTGATTTTATATTTCTTAATGGGCATATATCTAAACAGCAAACAGTAACCTAATTTAGATAAATGTACTTAAACATACTTGAGATTAATTTATTTAACCATATAACTGGGGCTAAGGCTTCCTAGTTAAAATCTATTTTAGTATACATATGTTTTTCTACTGTTTGTAATGAGTATAACATTTTATAATAAACTATTAAATCTTTTGGTCAATCAAAAGAGATCAAGAGAGAAATAACCAGCAATGATTAAGAAAAAGGTTGACATCTCTAATTATATTAAAAATAGTTAGTGTAACACATATGTAACGTGTCTTTTTAACTTGTAATTCAAAGTTTTATATCTGATACTTGTTTTTTAACTTCCTATGATAAGAGGAATCCTATACTTTAATTGAAATAGAAATCTAATGCTAACAGTAATTTACTTGTCCAGATCTGTTGGTTACAATGCAGATAGGGAATTCAGGATTGTTAGAGATTCATGGGCTTTATAGAGAAGTTTAGATTTTTAAAAATATTCAAGTGTGGGTCAGTTGAAAATGCAACCTCTGAGAAAGAATGTTTCCTGAATATTCTCTCTTTGCATTTAAGTCTAGGGTTAGAGAGGTTTAGGTTCTGTGGCAAAAATTAATCTGTGTCTTTCAAAGCTATCAAATATAATGATTTCATCACTGCATAACATCATCTCAAGTACTAAACTAATACTAGAGCTTTCAGTAGTTGAACATAAAGGTGCCTCCTTTTTAGGTCATGAGAGTGTTATCTTGGTAGCTGAGATGGTTGAAGGCCAGCTTCTCCATCATCATCCCAGAGCCTGGTAAATGGAGCTCAAGAGGAGAGAGTGCTGATTCTTTTGCAGCAACACATGAACAGAAAAAATAAGTCATGCGTGATCCCTGTCACGTCAACCTTTGAATTTCCTGTTGGAAACTCAGATGAAGCAGAGAATCCTTGAGCTCTACCACAGCAGCAATTCCAGAAGGTGCCGTTGGCCAACCGAGCAGATCCCTCCCAGACTGTGGTGGCAAGATGCCTTGCGTCCTGAAGTGGCTTAGAGCTAGCTTGCTTCTCCCACTGCGCCTGCTTTCCTCCCCTCGGTGAGGGCACTCTGGGAGAATAAAGCACATGGCAGTAGCACCGTGTAAATATGAGGTAGAATATTAAAGGTTTGGCATTTCAAATTAGATTCCACTGGGACTGACGGCAAAGGCTTGCTCACGAAAAGTCCCGTTGTTTGATCCACATCCTGTTTAGTTCCATCTTAAATTCAAGCGCTGTGATACATTTTTATTTGCATCTCAAAACAAGCATTCCCTAACCGCAACCAATATCACTTAATAAGGTGATAGTTTTTATATTCCAACTCTCAACTTTTCTCATCTCTGCAAATGAAGTACATTCTTGAGAGAAAATAGGGAGCCAAATATTTCCCAGAAACTATGCTTTTCTTAACTCTTTTCCTGTTTTCTAAGAATTGGAGAATGGATAGAGTTACAGATTTTTTTTCTCATTTCTTTGAAGTGATATAGTTGTTTTTGATCTGCTGTTCTCAGCTTCAAGGTTGCAGGTCAGAGCTCAGAGAAAACAGCTTTATTTTGGAACTGGAGACATATTTGTAACTTTCCATTGCTTCTTCAGGCCAAAACAATAATTTAAAACAAAAACTCCATGTGTACAGCCCTTAATATAAACTTACTTCATAATTGAAATACACATTTGCTATTCCAATGTCTTACTTTCTGTTCTTTGTTTTAGTAACTTTTATGGTGTGTGTTATGTAAGATATGTTCCTTGTATATGATTTAGAAAGTATTTTTGAAATCAGAAAGAATATAATCACTCATAATTTCATAGCTCTCAATTTTACTATTAATAGTTTAATATACTTCCCCATATATTGAATATATTCATTACTTTATATGTGTTTTATCTATATACTTGCTTATATACACTCACTCTGGGAGATACAAAAATGAAGTAATCAATAATCCTGTTCTAAAGGAACTAATAGTTGAGTTAGGTATAATAAAATATAGTTAGAGAAAGTACTAAGTAATTAGAAAACTGCAGATATTTTGCTATGAAAGTTCGGCGATAGGAGAAATTCTCTGGCTGGGGAATCTAGGGAAGTTCGCACCTGTATTTTTTTTTTTTTTGGTTAGTGTAAAATTATGACCATTTTGACCCTTCATGCACACAGTGGCCTCAGGAATAAGAGGCTGCTGATACACATATAGACTATGTTTCCTGTGCCTAGCACCGTCAGCAGTACTGAGAAGGAACTCATGAAATATCTGTTGACCATACAAAGGAGTGAAACCAAGTTTTCCACTTTTAAAAAAGTCAGTCACAATTTAATTAATCTATGCTTGGGCACAGGAAGATACTGTAAAGACTGACCCATTTGAGTTATCTGGGGCTTGAATTCACCTCCCATCCTCTGGCCTCCTTCTGGTACCTGGCCGGTGCAGGCAAGCCCACGTCTAGGCAGGATACAGAGCAGGGGGAGGAGAACCACTGATGCACCCTGATGCTCTCAGGTCTCAGTGGTTCTCGCATGCTGGTGCCGTCTGAGTCTGCCTTCCCAGGCTCTTGATCTCATCTGCCTGCTGATATTGCCTCTACCTTCCTAGTCTCCTCCCTTCCCTGCTGAGCTGCGCAGGTCTGTTTGAGCTTACACCTAGCTAGTACCTCCAGGACTGTTTATTTCTCCAGGGTTTAATTGCTGATCTATCTAATTCCCTATTTCTTGAACTCCATTCTGTCTGGATAAAATGAAAAATAAATAACCAAACTTATTAAATAAGTAATCTTATTTCATATACAATCTAAGTCAATAAGCCTTGGCCCCAGGACTGGAGAGCCCTGGGTAATTCATGCTTCCAGTAAAGTACATAGATTTGTAACAGATAGCTTCC